AGCGCTATCCAATAATTAATCTGATTTCCTAAGAATATATTTTCATATATATGCATTTAACGCCCTCTTATGGATATATATTTGCTAAATTTTACAATTGAAAATAAAATTTAAATTGTTATAAGCCAGAAAATATATTTTTTCCCCAATAATATTACCTAAAAATAGAATTATAAATTATTTGATATTTAATCTCAATTTTTACTGAATAAAAAATTGATTTATGTACATTAAAAAAAATGTTTATGAAAATTATTTTTAAAAAAATATTATATAATCAAATTTTGATTGATTATGATTAATTGCTTTTTAGCAATGCGGTATTTAGTCATACCGATAACTCCGTTTTATGCAAAATCGATTTTAAGAATACGTTCAATACAATTTCACGTTCCTCAGCACTCGAATATTTTTACGATAATTTCCCCCTATATTCGCGCTTCTGCTATAACAATAGCACCACTCTCATTTTTAATGGTAACATTATATTCTCCGAAGATGGAGTACAACAAGGCGATCCCCTATGGCCCTGCTTATATTCACATTCCTAAATACGATGAAGGATCTTAAATTTCATTTCGACCTCGACCTTAACCTATGGTATAGATAATGGCACGCTTTGCGCTAACAATATAAACAAAGCCCTTAGCCACCTCGAAACAGAATGCACTAAAATCTGTTTACAATTAAACAAAACCTAAACAGAAATTTGTTCCCTCAACCTCGAGATACCCCTTTTATTTAAAGATTACACTATTATTGAAAAATAAGATATCCAACTCTTAGGCTCATCATTAATAAATATTAATATATCACAAAAAATTATCGATAAAACATTTTCTGAAATGCAAAACCTGGAAAGGTTCATCAACCATATTCCATCACACCAACTTTTTTACTTATTAAAAAGTGTTTATATCTACCTAAAATCTGGCATCTTTTCCATTCATCCTTCTCATTCACCGCCTAAAAATTTTGATTCAACACAATATTTGCTTAACCTTTATAGAAAGAATCCTCAACTTTTCTTTATCGGACTTTTGGCACTTTGCCCAATTACCTGTTAAACTAGGTGCTATCGACTTGGTTCCTTTAGAACTATTATCCCTATCTTTATTTATCTCAAATCGCCTATCCCTCAATCAGAGGCGGAATGGCGATGATACGTCCTCGTGGGCATTTTTTATAGCGGACTCATTTATATGGGGGCTTCGCCCCCATACCCCCATTTTTCGATTTACATGATTTTTATTACTTCTAATTTTTGAAAATAAGTTAAAATTATTTACATTTTTAGTAAAAAAAAGAATAGTAAGGGAGACTGGGGTTAGGTAAACCCCGGGGCTTGGCAAACCACTTGATCTCATTTTAAAATTAAATACACCAGAAGGTTAAAATTTTATCCTAATATAGTTTTCATTAGTATACATCTATGGACAAAATACATTTTAAAATAATTAATTACTAAAAATTTTATTTAAGAAATAAAATTTTGATGAAATTTTCAAAAGATTTTTACATGACAGAATTTTAATTTTTATTAAAATATATGATCATTATGTAAATTAAATTTTATTAGAAAGTTTAAACATTCTTCTATAATTTGGGTAAGTTTTATGCGTATTTATCAAATCTAGATATTATTTCAATCATGATTTGTCAATTTAGAGCTAGCGGGGTTTGCTAAACCATACACGTCAATTATAGCAATTAATAATGAAAAAAATTTCAAAATCTTGAAAAGGAAATTTCATGGCTGTTTATGATTGGTATTTAGGATTTATGCTAAGAAATCTTAATCTCTCCTTAAAATTCATATTTTTTTATGTCCAAAATGTTTATTAAATTAGCCAAAGTTAAGTTTCAATTTTTATATATAATTAGCTTCAATTTATGTATTATGATATTTTGAACAATAAATACATAAAATTATTCTATACATATCATTATCAATAAATAAAAATGCATTTCAATTTATTATGGCCAAAAAAACCAATGGTTTAGGAAGCCCCTTGAAGTGGTTTGCCTCACCCCGCTATTGGGGCTTGTTGAACAAAATTTCCACTTTAAAAAAAATAAAATTAAAAAAAAATAATTATATTCTTAAGATTTTTTATAAATCACTATAGAGTATAGATTTAGGCATCCAATCATATATTATTTTTTATATTATCTATAAAAGAACAAGAGCTATAGCCAATTTTGTAAAAATTGGTTCGACTAACCACAGTCTCCCCTATTATACGATAATCATATAATTTATTTTTAAAAAATGCACATCTAAAATCATATTCATTACTGTTATAAATGATATATATTATATATATTATTAATGTTATAAATGTGATATACAAATCAATCATGCATGTATTTACGAATTGTCAATATATATATTTTGTCATGTGATATATACATACTATATATAGGAATTGTATAACTACCAATATAAAATAATATTCATTGCACATATATATTTCACATTAGATTTATAAATACATACACAATATATCAAATCAATTAATTTTGCACATATAAAATTATTGCATACAGTGTATAAAATTGCTGCACTATAAAATCAGGCACCGATCATATTGTAAATAGATATTAATAAAATTCAAATAAAAGAATTAAGGAAATATATAATTTTTACGTTAATAAACCTCTCAAACTTTGAACCTTTGCGCAAATATACAAGAATATCTTCTAGTTCAATCTGCGCTAAGGGTTCTCATTAAACTAACATGCTCCTAATTTTTCTTGGTCAATATTAGCTCTCAGCTTATTTTAATAATTTTCAATTTACTAAATCTTTTCTCGCAATTAACCTGCGTAAATGACAAAGTTAAAATGTATTCATATGCCAATAAATTAGTGTCACTTGTATGCATATTGCATCTTTTAAAAATTTCATACACGCATCTTAAACACTCACTTATTATCACACTCTGAGTTATTATCATATTGTAATATTCCTTCATTTGACTCCTCACTTGTTCATACGATCATTGTCCGTTTCATTTAATTCTGCTACATATCTTTGAATACAGTGGCAAATGAACATTATTCGTTACGTAATTTAACACGCAATATATATATATCTTTACTATTTATTTCATCAAGATAGGAATCCTGAAATCCCTACTTCCTAACCTCATAGGATTTTCCATACACTTTAAGAAAAAATTAAAAATTATTCTATCTGCTGAATATCCTCAGCAATATAAGATTTGCAATCTAAATTTTAAATAGTTAAACATTTTAAAAGGGGATATATCATTAAATTATTTTTCTGGCATCCCCTTCCTTTAGAGCCTGGCATAATTTCCTTTTAAAAATTAAAAATACGTATTTTTAATTTTTAAGAGGAAATTAAAAATTATTCTATCTGCTGAATATCCTCAGATGTCTAGGATGCAAATATTGCACATTTAAAATAAGCTCTCAATTCGCAGAAAGCCAATCCGACAAGCTGTTCATAATTTGATCAATTATAGGACGAGATACTCCGAACCTATAAAGATCAATCTATTCTTGAGGACGTTTATCTTGGCATTTGTCACTATATATTCTCTTCACTCGTTCTATTCGATTTTTTGGAAATTCTATACCCTGATACTCTCCTGGAGCTTTATATTAAAGTGTTTCATTAAAATTAGAAGCCATTTTATTGCTTTATTTTGCGATGTAATAATCGATGATACAGAAGACTTAATATCTTCTATCATTTTCCATGCAGACAAAGTACCTAATTTTTAGTTAGAAGATATGACAATGGCCAATTATTTCAAAAATTTCCAAATATATTATAGCTGTACTTATAGTCTTAAATTTACATAAATTATCAAGTTTTTGTATCAAATGATTCATTATCTATAATAAATTGAAGTGCATTTATCTTTATTGGGAGCAAGCTCTCTTTACCATATATCCTCTAAGGGCTTTTTCACGTGCCCATACCTTATCTAACCTATTTTTTGTAGCTTTCTCAACTTATTTTGGCCAGATGAATTATTCTGCTTCACCCAAGCATCCACCTTTAATCTGATTCACCGACCTGGATTTTATTTGATTTCAATAAATTAAGAACAAGAAATGTTGGCTATATTATTTCTACAATAAATCAATGTATAAAAATGTAATATAATGAATTAATAAAACTTAGCTTTCACTCTACTCAAACGGAAGCGTTTTTACTTCATTTGAAAAAACAAAGAAAAGAACGTGGTAATGATGTGTAGCGTCAAGCGACGTTATTGATATATTATGCATTAAAATATAGTAAACGACATGACAATTGTAAAGGAATGTGATATTCAAATCATAGGGATATCATTAAAAATAAATAAATGATAAGAGAAAATAATAAATAACTTATTTGGGACGCAACCTCCGTTTCCTCCTTCCCTTCATCAATTAATTAAAACCCACTTACTAGCAGGGAAATAAAAAAATTAATAAATATTCAAAATTCATTAATTATATATTTCAGCCAATAGCCATAATAACTAACGGCAATTTTTTCCAATCTACATATTTTTTTTTAAAAATTTTATCACGGAAAATTTTTAATATAACAAACGAAAATAGCGAATCCATATTTCTTAAACAAAAATTTCAACTTTTTTAAACATATTTATACCTTTTTTAGGTACATATTCATTATTAAATTAAGCTCTTTAGAGCCTTCGATACTTATAATATATATATATATTTATTTTTATTTAATAATTTTATATATTTTTATATACTGTTTTAATATTTTAGTGTTTTATCATTTTAATATGTGTTTTATCATTTTAAAAATAAAATATTACATATTTAAACTACACTCATTATTGTATTACTTTATAATTTTAATGCAATTCGTAAACGTAGAATGAATGTAATAAACAAGTAAAAATATATCGATTTTCAGAAATCCTAAAAATTTTAAATAAAAAACTTATGACATTTTTTATAAAGATATATTTTGTGATATTTCAAAAGAAAGCAAATAAAGATAATGTATAGCGGTAAATACATATCTTACGATAATAAATGGTTAAGTCCTTTAAAATTAATTGAATCTAAACAAATATATGCAGTTTTACCTTCATCTCAATCAGCAACTTATCAGGCCCATATAAATAAACCAAAAAATGATAAAACAACAGAAGGTAAAATCACTGAATCAGATGACTTCACTACCGAGGAAGAGTTATCAAACCAAAAATCGTATCGGAAAACCAATAATATGCAGAAATTACTTAGAGAAAACGGAAAAACTTTGAATAATAATCCAATTAATGATATCGAGCTACCAATGAATTTTGAATTATCAATTAATGCATCCCATTTTAAGGAAGGTGTAAAAAGTGAGCCTAATTTAAATTCATCGAGTCATTATGATAATTCGGAGGAATCATTAAATTCATATTCAACAAGTGATAATAAATTCAATTACAAAAAAAAAAGCAAAGATACCCAAACAAGTAAGAAAGAAATTATAGGACCATCCAAGAGAAAAATACTAATATCAAATAAAACATCTGATGAGATATTTGAATTACCAGATGAATATTATGATTTTATTTACAGAGATGGGCAGTATAATGAACATATAAAAGCCCCCAAAGATAAAAGACATAAATTAAATAGAAACCTTAATGACACCAATGAAAATAAGGTTAACATTTTCCTCTTAATATTCATATAGTCTTATTTTTTGAAAGTAACTAATATTTATGTCACCCGATTTGCTTACATTATCGCACGCATAGGAAATATAAATTGTTTTATTAGAATCTGTTTAAGCTATATCAAAATTTTCTATTTATTATAAAATACGATATGAAAATAAATAATAAATAGAAAATATTTCCCACAACCTGATTTTTAAAAACTTTTCATAATTCAGGTAAAAAGGGAAATATAAAACATTAATATTTTTGAGCTATGAGACGGTCCTATATAGGAGGGTGGGACTGGTGGTCCAGACTACTACAATATAGGGTATTATATAGTAGATTTTTTTTATTTTATAAAATGTAAAAAACGAATGTTATATAATTAGGAAGATATGCTGTACAAAATCAAAAAAGATGGGAATGCGAATTTTAAAAATGAGCAGGAGAAAATATTGGTATTATTGAATAAAATGCAACTTGATTCTTTCGATAAAACAATGGCCTTAGAGATTTTGGGAGAAAGATTTTTACACACTATTGCGAAAGCACATTATAATGACAGGCAAAATATTAAGCATATTTTCATGAAAAATTTCAATATCGTAAGTAAAATTTAAATATATTATTTATTTTTAAAATTTAAATTTCTATCACATTATCAATTTTAAAAAAAAGACTATTAAAAAGTAATGTAATATAAGACAATAAAAAATTAGGTATGATGAATATAAATATATCAAAGAAACTTATACAAGACCTCTGATGAGATATATTTTCGGCTGCGGCTTGTTTGCATTTTTTTAAAGGCGGCCGGTGGCGCACCGGTGCATCGATGAATAAAACAAACTCTAATCTTTTACAAAAGTTAGGATAAAAATAATTGTCTTTCTTTTCGTTGATAAAATAAACAAAATACAAAAGGAAAAGTATAAAATTACAAAGCATGGAAATTTAAAGAAAACAATTTATAAAAAATACAATAAATAATAAATATACAAATATACAAATTGAATCATAAATTTTTATCAGAATATATATAATTGTAATAATAAAAATTTATAAAGTATCTGGAGATATTGAAGAGATTTAATTCAATATCAAACCAGCAACAGGGAAAATAGTTCTCTTGGGGCTGTAGCTGAAACTGAAAGTATTTTAATAGCATTGATAGATTGGATAATTCTAGCTCTTTGCGTTTCACGTCAGTTTAAACTTGGGCTTGCTATCTAAAACAAATGGCACGTTTGTTGTTTTTTAGAGATAATCTCATTATTTATCTTGTTTCTCAGATTCTCTTAGACACACATTATAGAAATAAGAATCTTCCTTTTTTATTTTCTTTTTATTATTATTATAAAATATAAGCTAGCCAAAAACTTGCATAACATACTTAATTCTTGCTATTTATGGTATTAATTTTAGAGCGAATTAACCTATGTTTTTATTTATTATAAATATTTTTATACAAGTTTTGTGTTCTATTTATAAATAAAAACCAAGACACCTCCTATAAAAAAATTGAGGGCCTGTTTTTTAATATTATTTTACTAAGCCAGCCTTCGATTGTGGGAGAGGATATCCCTCTTCCCACCAGTTGAGTTTGGGAAAATGTCAGGGACTGAGGCAGCTTAAATTGGGTCTTAGTGTTAAAGTATATATATGATAGGAATTAATATATATTTTCTTTGGTTTTAGAGATTTTCAAATCCCTGCCGGATCATTTAGAAATTACAGCCCGCTGGTCAAGCAAATAATTTAACGGGACGTGCCGGATCATTCTACAATTATACATAAAAATAAGCTTGGCTGGATAATCCAAAAATAAAATATTGTTCTCGCAAATTTCTTATATTTTTTAAATTTTAACGGGCTAACACGGGCAATAGATTTTTGATATATTTTTTTGAATTTCAAGCTAATACAGTGATTTTAATTAATTCTGTTCGAGAATAAATCAATATGTTTATTCCTTTATATTTTAAGAGCACTATAACTAAAATACTAAACCTATAAATTAAATAATAAATCCTTAAAAATTAAAATTTATATATCTGTACACAATACAGATATCAAAACACAATTTTTTATAAAAATGTTGTTATATAAATAGCTATTAAGTAGAAGGAGGAAGATCGGGGTACTTTGAATATAGGGAAGCAATGATTCACTTCAATTATAATTAGGCGAAAAATAAATGTAGGTGTTACTACCCGATCAACCGACATTTTATATATTATGTAATAAACATTCCTCGTCATTATCTCATTTTATATAATCACCTCTTGCAGCCTCACCACTTATATTCCCTGTAGAATTTTAGCCCTTAAATTATTTTAAATAAGGCTTACTGGAAACCTAGACTAAATGAAGTCAAACTTTCACATATTCAAAATCTTTTAGATTTCAATTTATGATATGATAAATGTAAATCTTTATTTAAAGCATTAACAAATTTTTTGCATTAAAATCTGTGAGGCGATAAAATGTTAAACCTAAACTTCATTCTCTGCAGGAAAATTTTTATTCCATCATTCATATCTCACTTTCCTGAATATTACTAATTCTTGAAATTTTGTTGATTTTATAACCATTATTAATTATGATATATTTTGCTTAGATTCACAAGAATGAATCTAACAATGATTTCTTTAGGCCATTTTATCTATGTTAAAGATTTTGAACTTAAATAATCCTGGTATGATTAGCTTGTATTTAGAAAATGTACTTAGTTATGCGGCGATCATCCTATCTAATGTCAGAGTGGAATGATTATATTGATTCTTTATCTTCTAGTATTGAATCTTTACTACCGAAATTTGCTTCCTAGAGCTTCTAATTGGTTTCAACATTTCCTTTATAGGTTTTTGTAAGTAGTAGTTTCTCAATGCATAAGCCACCTACCGGCGATTCCTTTCGAAAATTTTTAATAACATTTTATAAGACCTTTAGGTTAATTTATTTAGTCCATCAATTCCCAGACATGCTACTAAATTTGTAACTTAAAGTTAAAATCTCCCTTGAATCAATACTCAACCTCAAATTCTCGCCCAGTTGCTGGATGCAAGCCGCTCTTCCAATCAAATTTAAGGGCATAGGCTTCCGATCCCCTGCCTCACTGAGTATATCAGCTTTTCTCTCATCATACACCAAAAGTCAAACAATTACTAAATTTTTACCACCAGTACAGATCCCCAACTGGGGTTGGCACTAGACCTATGAAGTCGAACGCTCTAAATAATCCCTTTCCTTTATTCCAGACAACAAGTTTGGGACATACGAAAAACTTCGGATAGAAATAGGTCTTCGTTTAGGCTGTGATATCGTCAGACCCTCATCTTGTAAACAGCTCCCTATCGACAGCCTAGGTCATTACCCTCTTCACTACCGTTTCTCTAAAGGCCACCATCCACACCACCATAGAACTCCTAATATTCCATCATCTTTGGAACCTGTAGGTCATCTCGGGGTCAATATAGGCCTGAGGGAATGACTCTTATCCCATGGAGCAAAGGAATCCAGCTAGCCTGGGATTATACATGCGTTGATCGCTTTGCACCATCCTATTGCTCTAATTCCTTAGTTGGAATGGAAATTAGAAAGATCAATAAATACATTACCATTCCCATGATTGTTTCTTACTTTATAGGTCGCATAGTATATCAATCCATGGTGCCATAACCTAGATGCACCTCCCCTTTAGAAATTTAAGATTAATATAGATATTTACATCATCCATGATTGACTAAAAAATTTGAAAAAAATATTTTAATTTTTACAGAAGGAAATTGATTAAACATGCTAAAAGTAATAAAAATATATTTATAAAATTTATTGTTTAGATTTATTAATAAAACTTATTATTAAATAAATTTTAGAAGATTATAAACATTATTTTTATTCTGACAATTTTTCCGAATCATAAAATATAATTCTGAATGATATTTGTAAAGTTAGTGAGCTAAGTCATAGCTTGTTATAGGATGATTAGCCCCATTAATAATTGCATTTTTTTATTATGCAAATATTTTCAATGAATATTTTTCTAAAATATTAATTCTTAAGTAAAATTTAATAATATAAACTTTAAAGCATCTGGTATTAAAACCATATAAAAATAAATTTAATTGTATATTTAGACCCTTATTTAGTTGGTGTGTCACCTAATGTTATCCAAGGTGCCCAGAGTACGACAAGATTGAGCAAAATAATTTATCTAAACTATAAAATATATTAACTATTTTAAATAGCCTATACTTTGAGGATTTAAGATGTTTTATTTATTCAGACTAATTCAATATTATTAAATTATTTAGGTTTGAATTAAAAGTTTACCAACTTACTCTGATCTTCCCTATAAGATTTAATTGACTGGAAAAATTTAGTGCAGATTAGATTTAAACATTAAAAATATAATGGCTGGATTCGTATAAAAAAATCATAAAATTTTTAGGGTTTGAGTCGGGCTTGGAAATGAGTAATTATTGGAAACGGATCTTATGAACAAAAAAATATGAATAACGGACTTGGCAACTTGTGCAAAAAAAGTCATAAAGGGTTGAAATAGGCTGGACCTTGCAGATCTCTGATAAACATATTCATAATATCAAATATTGCAGAAACCATTGAAATATTAAAATAACTTTCTTTTAATTTATTCTTTTATCCAGTTAATCAGTACCATTCTGGATATTTTGGTCTATCTCTCATACTTCTATTCACAATAAAATTTTCAAAATTTGGAGTTTTGAATCTTGGAGTAACAATAATTTCTCTTGAATTTTGTCCATAATATATTCTTTAAATTTTTATTGGATTTCATTACAAATCTAATTTTAAACATATTTAAATTATTTTTTTTAAACATAATTTATAATGAATAACATATATTGTAACTTATTTATAATAATAATGATAATAAAATATATTTACTTTGTGCCAGGATTTCAGAGACAGGATGGTCACAGCCAATAGAGCTCGGCGGGTCTATTTATCTATTTTAAAAAAATTAATATTAATAATGGTAAAATTAATAATATTTATTCAAATAAAATAAGTTTATTAAAAAGAAATTCCATGAAACCCTAGTGTAATACTGTACTATATATTTTTTTAAATATACTTTTATAAAAACAAATATTGATGATATTTAGTAGTTATTTCTTAAACTATATAGTAATTTTTGTGATTATTAAAAATACTTTTAGAATATAATTTCAGAACTGAAATCAAAATTTTCCGATGATTATTCTCCAGTAATAGACATGTTACTTGAATCTCGTGAGAAATTCGTTACTGATATATTAGCAATAGCTATGAGTGTAATGACATTTAAAATAATATTTGAAAATATATATTACAAGTCCGCAAATAATAGATGGATCTCATTTTTAAGAAAAATTTTGTATTGGGCTTGGGTGAATAATATAAAAAGGGGGGGGGGGCTTAAGCAAAGGGTTGTTAACTTGGAAAATAATAGAGGCCGCCAGATTTTATTCCAATATCACACTTCTTATTTTTTACAAATCAGGAAATACTTGCTACTTAATTTAAATATAAATTGATTCCCGGTTTTAATTTAATAACTTCTAGAGTTGAATTTACATTTTTCTATATTTTATTATTCTAAACCAAGCCAAATATATATTTTTAAGTATTATTTGGACAATTCAAAAAAGGGTTATATATTTACCCGCTAATTTATTAGTAATTATTTCATTCCAAGTTCAATAAATAAGCCGGTTGGATTCAAAAAAGTCATATTACTTGCAGATTTCTAATATGTATTTACTTTTGTTAAATATTGTGAACATATGTTATATTATGCTTGATTATTTCAGAAAAACGATAGCGTCCAAATGATTGAAATTTATGCTTTTCATAATAAAGAGGTATATACATATATCAATTTTTTCCCAATAAAGTTAATAAATAGGTTTTAAAAGATGTCGAATTATTTTGGAAACAAAGTATATTTTTATTTATATAAATGATATAAAAAAAAATCTAATTTTATTTAGAATATAAATCAGATTTATTTGAAGCCATAAACAAAAAATTGCCCGATAAACTTTGCAGTTTACTCGAAATATTATATAAAGTATAAATATATGGTGAATTCCATATCAAAATCAACCAAGGATTCAACTCGACCCCCTCAGAAATTTTTTAATTTTGTATATTGGTAATATATGTCATAACTAAGAAAAAATAGAATTTTTACTTCATAACACCGCTTACTAACTAAGATATAGAGGTTGAAAAAACGGAAAAATAGAACATTTTTACAAAATGCACTTCATTAATTTTCAATATCTCAAGAATTAGAGCAATAATTAAAATTTTATTATATAGCCTAATAATGGTTCGTTAATATGACATATAAATAAATGTGATAAAAATCCGATTACTACCCAAAATCGGAAGTATAAAACCAGATTTTATCATCTTATTAAAATTTAATGAATACCTAAGTAATTTTTTTCAAAAATATTTTAAAAATATTCCGAATCCCCAAAAATAAAATAATATAATTACTTTTTCTTCTCTTTTTTTGCGCCTGGCACCATATAATTAAAAGTCCAAAATAAGGGATTTAAAATTAAAAAGTATATTTATAAAAAATCCTAATTATTGCAACAATTATTCAATGCAATATGGCATTTCGTTGAACATTTAAGCAGGGACCCGAACCGCTATTTATAACGGTTCAGTTTGGTTAAGGTTCAATATGTAAAAAATTATGGTGTTTTGGTTACGGTTCTTGAGAAAAAATGTATAAAGATTCGGTTCGGTTCAGCTAATTATAAAGGTTTATAAAGTTCATTCGGTTAGAAATTTTTTTTTTATTGAAGCAACATCATCTTCTAATTTATTTTTATTATAAGCATCTATGAATTATATATAAAAAAATATATATAAGATTCAAAATAACTCACTTTTAAATATATTATTTGAACTTATAAGTAATATATTTTCAAGTATATAAATAGATTACTTTTTGTTCGTTGTGACGATAACACAAATTTTAGCCCTGAAAAAGCCCTTCTACAGAAACTTGTGTTGCGGGAACAGCCAGTACTATAAGAGCACGTTTATATATTTCTGGTTATTCAAATTATTTCCATTTCTAAAATATAAAAACTGAACCGGTTTAAGGGTTTTTTATAAAGGTTCTTTTTACTACTTCAAAAAAAATTATATCGGTTCGGTTATGGTTATGGTTCAGATATTTATAACAAAAATAAATTTTTTTAAAAAAAAATATTTAAGGGGATTCGGAATCTTTTTTTTAAAAAACAAATTATATTTTTTTGCTGCCTGGCACCAAAAATTTTATTTTTAGAGATATTTAATATGTATTACTTTTATGCTTTGTATCATTAAATACTCGAAAAAACGGTTTTAATATAAATTAAATGTAAAAAATAAATATTATTTTTAAATTAATAATTTAGACAAATTAGAGGAAAAGAAAGTGAAAAGAGGTGCGGTCCTAATTTTTTTATTCACGGCCCGCCCGCTCACAGTGGCAATAAAAATATTCGCGCCCATTCACGCTTACCACTAAAAAATTTTCGATCCGATCCGACCCACCCGCTCAAGAAGGGCAATATTTTGATTCACGTCTGAAATTCACTGTGTTTTTAAATTTTTCAAAACTTTAATGCTATAATTTTTTACACTTTTTTGAATTTATTCTATTTATTTCTTTAATTCCATAATCCATAATAACAAAGAATAAATACATATTATAAATCCAAATTTTTCCTTAGAAAAAGAAGAGTGTTTATTTTTTTATTTCAATTGTGTACGCCTTTCCTCTAATAGGCGATTGACTACAGAAAATTACCTTTCACTAGAAGCCGAATTTGCCAGGCCTGACAAAATTTTACTCTCTAATTTTCTCAAAAATGAAAATAAATTTTCCTGCTTCCAAAACTTCAAAATATTGCCATTGTTATTTTTATTTTTTAAAATTTTATTTTGATAATATTGATAATGGTATAATTTTTTTAAAAAATCATAAAACACTAAAATAAGCAACTATATAAAAATATGTAAAAATATATAAAATTACTAAATAAAAATATATATTAATAGTATCGAAGGCTCTAAAAAGAGCTTATTTTAATAATGAAAATGGACCTAAAAAACCAGTATAATTGTGTTTAAATATTTCCAATTGAAGTTTTTGTTTAAGAAATAAGGATTCGCGATTTTCGTTTGTTATGCTAAAAAATTTTCGTGAAAGTTTTAAAAAAAATATATGTAGACTGTGAAAAATTGAAGTTAGTTGAAATGACTATTGGCGAAATATAAAGTTATTTAATTTTGAATATTTATTAATTTTTTTATTTTCCCCACAAGTAAGAGGGTTTTGTATTAATTGATGAAGGAAAGGATGATACGCAGGTTGCATCCCAAATAAGGGATTTCCTATCTGACTAGGGGGTCTGGTCGGTCCCATTTGTTTTATGGGATGAATCTTTTTAATTCACACAGCTTTCATCAGTAGATGTTGATGCTTCATCATAATCATCTAAAAATATGTTTCATTTGCTACCAATAATATTGGGAATAGTATTTCTAATATTTTAAAAAACTCCTTCTTTTATTTCTTATTTAAATGATCGTGGGCTTCAAAACATAATTTATTCTCAAATAATAGGTCAATAACTTTATATTAGGTGAACACGTATTATTACCTCTCCATAGGACATATAGAACTAATATTTGTCCTTAAAATTTAGAAGGAAAAGTATTTAAAATTGAACAAAATAAAATATGGGTAGGAACATGTGCTGGAAGAATTTCAACACCCTTTATATTGCTTCTAGTTTATAAGTTCCCAACAAAAATATATCTATCATAGGTAATTTAAGCTATTTTTATAGTAACCACATATATTCTGCTAAAATTAATTCATGTATATAAAATATATTAACTTTTTATTTCAACTGCTAAAAATATTTAGGAGCTTCACGATACGTCACAAACTATGAAAAAATCTTAAATGTTCAACAAAATGCCATATTGCATTGCATAATTGTTGATAATTTTTTTTATAAATATATATTCATATAATATAAATTTATAAAAATAAAAGTGTCTTCTTAACCTTATCCCTTTTCATTCATTAATGGAGACCTGGGTCTTGTCGAGCCCTAAAAAGCAAACCTTATTAAAATTAAAAGTACTTTATCATTTTTAATAAAGTATATCTCATTCTGTTCATCTCTATTAGTTTTATAGTAGTTTCAAATTTCAAAAATATATATCTAATACTTTTTACAAAATGTTTATTTTTCTGGAATTTTTTTTGGGAACGAGTGCACCCTACCCTGGGACCAGTGAATAAATAATGATGATTAGATAGGGCGCGGGCCGGGAAATTACACGTGACCCATCGTATAACGGTGGGTCACGGCGTGAGTGTGAATAAATTTTAAATTATTAGGCCTGATTGGGCGTGACGTGCCTTCCCTAAATTTTTCCCGGGCGTGAATCTCGGAAATTTTAATTTTTTTTATAAATATAAATTTGCAATTTATAATTAAAATACATATTTTCTAATTTAATTTAGTTCTTTTTTAAAAAAGAAAAATTTTTGAAAATAAAATATTTTCCGGCATTTTCTAAACAACATCTGGTGTCACGCTCCTAGTTCTATTTTCTTTTTATGTTTAGGTGTTTTGTTGCGAGATTTTTTACTTAAATTAAAATTTATTCTCAAGCACTTTAGGCTTAATTCTAGATCCTAATTTCAAAAGCCTTAAGTTTTTAATAGACGAAGAAATAAAAGATATTTACAAAACAATTTTAAAAATGTGAATGATAAATTAGATGATATGCATAAGTCAATGATAACTGTCATTTATAACTTTCCTAATTCATCCTACATTCATAAAAAACCATATATAATAAATGAAACATATTTTTAGATGATTCTGATGAAGCAGTGGCGTAGGCATGGGGGGGACCCCCCCCCCCCTTCCCATGAAAAATTAAAAAAAATTTTTTTTATTTTTTTAATTTATTTTTTTAATTTATTTTTTAAAATTTTTTAATTTTAATTTAAAAATTCTTAATAAACGCTTGATTATGTTTTAAATTTATTATAAATAATAATAGATATACACATTTGATTGTTTTTATATTTATTGGTTTGCAGCTATTTCACACCACCCAAAAAAAGGAAGTTATTTATTTAACGTATCATAATATTGACTTAAAAAATCAAAAAAAAACTAAAGATTTTGTCCGACCAGATTCATCGAAAGACAAGAGTTGGTGAAACTCTTTATTGAAATATTTGATGTTGTCTTTGCAGCACTAGAATTTTATTTATCAAGCAAGGAAAAAGATTCAGCAGATGCCGAAAATCTTTTGCAGGCTATTATTAAGCCACAGTTTTTAATTTCAATTCAATATGTTTATTTTTTATTTAATTATACATATGATTTTAGCAAAATGCTACAAAAAATTGATTTGGATTTAAGGGAGATTATGAATTGAGCAAAGGATATTGTTGAAATATCAACAAATATCAGAGAGAATGTGGATGAAAAATTTCATGAAATATATGAAAAAGTAAAGGAGATTGCTAATATGTTTGGAATTGAAATTTTTAAACCTAGAGTAGTCTCTAGACAATCCAATCGATCAAATATTGATGCATCTACGATTGAGGATTTTTATAAAATAAACATTTTTATTCCCCTTATCGATAAATTTTTATTTCAATTAAAAGAAAGATTTATTAGTCATAATTATATTTTAAAAAGCTTTTATTTTCTTTTTCCGGTTGAGTCTAAACTGTTGATTACACTTGAAACACGAGAGGATATTAAAAAATCTCAGAGTTTTATGCTGATGATTTATTAGGTTCATATGATAAGTTACTTTGTGATGTCAAATTTTGGTAAATCTTGACAGAATAGGGTATTCTTTGAGACCAAAAAATGCTCTGTAGGCCCTTTCCATGTGTATTTACATTTTAGATTCCCTGCCTAATATCAAAACATTATTAATTTTAGCTACCTTGCCAATTAGTACCTGCATTAAAGAAAGATCTTTTTCAACTTTAAAAAGGTTAAA